ACCACAGTTTGCTACATCTGGAAAATGTCTTGGCCCAGCCATGACTACATGGAAGTCCTTCCTTCCTTCCTTCCTTCCTTCCTTACTTCCTTCCTTCCTTCCTTCCTTCCTTCCTTCCCTCACCCACTCCTTTCCCTCCTAGGCCTGTAGAGGCAATGCTCAGAGCCTTCTTTCCTGAGCCCTTTATCCCAGGAATAGCCCCACTTTGTGTTCCTGAGGCTGCAGCTTTGGAAGCAGCTCCTCTGGAGGCTTCAGTCCATGGGGATGGTGGTGGTGGTGGAGGAGGAAGAGGGTTCTTCTCTGGTATTGAGGGCTCTCCAGCCTGGGGACATGCCCCAGCCCCAGCCTCTACCTGCCCCCCCACCACAAGAGAGGCTGCTGGGGTGGGACGGGGGCATCTGCAGGGCGAAGGGGGCCATCACAGCCCTTTAGACTTCAGCACTTACCATGCGTCTCCCTTCCTGCCATCTCCCCACCCCACCCCACCCCAGTTGAGCAGCACTACGCCTCCAATGTTCAGAGGAACCAGCTGGTCCAGAAGGACATCCGCATCGCCAAGACCCTCCAGGACATGGAGGACCAAGTGAGCCGGCTCAGGGTCTCCCGGAAGCAGAAGCCGAGGTGAGCCAGCCCCTTCTTTTCCTTTCTGAGAAAAGATGTCTGCTACGATGATGCGGAGGATGGGTGGGTGGCCCAATTCTCTTCTGTCTTAGACTACAGTTCCCATCATCCCACAGCCAACATGGCCCATTGGAGGCAGACTCCCATGAACGGCCTCTCTCTCTCTCTCTCTCTCTCTCTCTCTCTCTCACAATCACACACACACACACGCACACACACTCTAGCAAGCTGGGTACTCAGGTTTATTGACCTCGGAAGGATGGAAGTCCGAGCGAACCTTGAGCTGGCTACCTGGGATTGAACCCAGGTCTGTCAGTACGGTTGGGACTGCAGTACTGCAGTTTAACTGCCATGCCACGAGGCTCCATGTGCACTCAACAGACTCATTTCCAGTACCGTTTGTGTTCCACCTCGGCTGACCAACCCGCTCAGTCTCGGCCAGAGACTCCGATGAAAATGCCTTTTGACTGGGAGTTCAGCTCCGTGCAGCAATTCTTGGTCTTTTGAGACAAGGGAGAAGCAGAGGAACAGGGAGAGGAAAGGGGGAAGCCGAGGGGATGGAGAAGAGTGGGATGGAGAGGGGAGAAAAGAGGGGAAAGGGTCATAAGAGAAGAGAGAGAGCTGGCTGGCAGGCGAAAAGGTTTTAGTTTATTGCACTAGGGGTTTATCGGTTGCTGGCCTTTAGCACGCCATTTGATGCAGTGAATTCCTTGTGGCCAAAGTGTGTGTATTTCCCTGGAGCAACTTCCAAGGCCAGAGGCTGCTTTATGGATCTCTCCTTTCCTCCTTCCCTTGCATGCAGCGAAGAGAGCGGTTCCAAAACAGCCCACGCCATCCGGGAGGAGACCCAGCGGAGAAGCGCAGAAGGCCACCGGAGAAAGCAAACAGACCAGGTAACTTCCGTCCCCCCCCCCCGGGTTTTGCCCCGGCTTGGCACCGCAGCAGCAGGTTGGGACCGGCTTGGGGGGTGCGTGGGTGGCTGAGCTGATGGTCCTGGAGGTGTCTTAGCCAATTCCAGTGAGGCCAGCTCCCACTGCCGCCGGCTCCCCTCCACTCTTTTCGGATGAAAAGGATTACTTTGTCTTATGTAGGGCAGACGGAGCCATTCCAGGGGGGATTAGCCTAGAAAGCGTGAGCCTTTTGGAGAAGCTGCTGGTCTAATCCTTGAAAAGCCAGAGATCAGAGCTGTCAGGAGGGCATTTGAGGTCACAAACGTCTGCAGGGGGGAGGGAGAAAGAGACAGGAATCTCCCCCCCAGCTCAAAAACACAGCACTGCTGGTATGATGGGGGGGCATTTGCTGTTGCTGGTGTGATGGGGGCGCCAAGGGTCTGAGCAGCTGCTGGCTTTCTGGAGATCGAAATCCGGGCGGTTGTGCTGGGTCATCATCTGCACCTGGAATGCATCGGATCTGCCTGGTGGGCTGGAACATGTTTACGAGTAATCGGGTGAGAAAGGCCAGGCGACTGTTTAAACCTGCTTAGGGCGGCCGATGTCGGTTGCAGAGAAAATGAGAAAACCTCCCTCTGCTCTGGATCCCCTTTGATTTGGGAAGCTAAGCAGCGCCAGGCCTGGTTGGTCTTTGGAGGGGAGACTCCCCAAAAGGGAACTGTTGGGTTCTCCATCGGGAAGAATCCTGCATACGCTTCCAGAGCCAGGAGGGCTGGTCAGAACTGGCTATGCTCGGCCGCCTCTGTTTGGACCGAGGGGTGTGTCCTGGGTGTGATCTGGAGGTCTGCAGTCTCACCCAAGACCCCCTCCTTCAAGAGCCGAGGCCGCCCCCTTTGCAGCCCCCCATGGCCTCTGCCACAAAGTGCCAAGGGATGGATGAGTTCCTCTTGACCCAGACACCTTGCCCGAACCCTGGGATTGACCGGGCTTATCTCCCAACGCTTGGCCATGGCCCAAATGCAGGAGCTGACCTTGGGTCATCCCTTGCGAGCAGACCAGAGTCCCACCGGATGGGAGGCGGCCGCAGCCCGGGAATCAAGCCCTGTCTCCGAACAGCGCCCTTCCACGGGCGGCTCTCGACCCTCGCCTTCCCCAGAGCAAATCCCTGGAGGCAGCCGGCAGAGTCCGTTGAAGGGGAAAGAACCGAGAGGCGTGTAGCACCTTTAACCCCCAGAGGAGTGTGGGTGCGCAGCCGATCGGGCGAGAATAAATCGGCTCGGTGCCAAGGGGTCACCCGAGCATTTCCTCCAGGGAAGAATGACCCCCAGCATTCCCGGGGAGTCGGCTCCGTTTCTGCCATCCCATTGGGGGGGCAGTTTCAATGGGGGTGTTTTGTTCTATGGCCAGTGCTTCCCTCTCCACCAACCTCTTTCTGGACCACGGGGAGGTTCGGGAAGGTGGGGGGGGGGGCAGGAAAAGCCTGTGAAGGAGGCGCCGCAGCCCCTCCCCATCTGCTCCCTGAGATGGCCCATCGGAGGACGATCGCAGCTGGACTCTGATGGGTGGCATAAAACATCGCTGCACCTGCAGCCAAGGCCCCCCCTCCTTCCCTTCTTGACCTGAGGCTGAAGTGGTCCTGGAGGTGGCCAAGGGAAGGGGGAAAGGAGTCCTGTATCACAGCGACCATCATCCCCAGCGTCTGCCTTCCTGACACCCCCCCCCCAATTGCAACACAGGCTCATTGAATTTCAAGCAGTTTGTTGTTCTGGAAAGCAAGCGGGCGGCGGGCGGCTTTGGCTTGTGGGGAGGGAGTCACAAACAGGACGCGGATTTCGGGGGACACCTCCCCCCGGATTTGGTGAGCCGGCGGCGTGAGACCTGCGCGGACATACCAATCCTGCTTAAAATGAGGAGTGCAGGAGAACTGCCCCACTCTGGCAAGGTCAGCCCCATAGCCCACTTGGGCTGTGTGTGGACCAGCTTTTTTGGGATCCCACAGTGATTTGGGAAGGTTCCTACGCCCCGCATCCCCCCCAGCCTCCGTGCACGGACACGTACGAGTCGCTGGCCAAAAATTAAGCAACTAGAAGAGGCTGCCTTGCCTGGAGGCCCATGGAGTGGAGAGAACGGGCAGAGAGCAGGGATTTTGCTTCGCTTGCGCCTCGAGGCAATGTCTGGCTCTTCCGATGCCGGGCTCTGAGGCTGCCCCCACTTCCTGCGCTTCCTTTGGAGGACACCCCCTTCCCCGCTGCAGAGTCTGGATCCTAAGATTTGCTCTGTGTCCTGCTTGGTGACCCCCCACCCACCCCAGGTTCCTACGCCCCGCATCCCCCCCAGCCTCCGTGCACGGACACGTACGAGTCGCTGGCCAAAAATTAAGCAACTAGAAGAGGCTGCCTTGCCTGGAGGCCCATGGAGTGGAGAGAACGGGCAGAGAGCAGGGATTTTGCTTCACTTGCATCTCGAGGCAACGTCCGGCTCTTCTGATGCCGGGCTCTGAGGCTGCCCCCACTTCCTGCGCTTCCTTTGGAGGACACCCCCTTCCCCGCTGCAGAGTCTGGATCCTAAGATTTGCTCTGTGTCCCTGCTTGGTGACCACCCACCCACCCCCAGCCAGCCAACTGGGCTGGTCTTCCCCTGCATTCTGTGTTTCTTTCCTCCATCTTGACCCGAAACTCTCACCCCCTCCCAAACGAGGTGTAGGAAGAACGGTTCGGCTTGGCCAGCTTTGGTTTGGATTTGATCCTGGGGAGGAAAACAGGGACCTGGAACAGCCCCCCCATTTCACTCTTTGAGGTGGCTCCTGGGGGGAAAGGGGTGCATTTGGGGGGCTCTCTTCCTGCCCGCAGAGGGTTCAGTTTCTGGGGTGCTCAGCACCGGGGTGGCCTCTCATGGCTGGCAGCTGCTGCCCCCTAGTGGCCAAAAAATTTAAGCCTCTCCTTCGGTGTGGAGAGAACGGGCAGAGAGCAGGGATTTTGCTTCACTTGCATCTCGAGGCAACGTCCGGCTCTTCTGATGCCGGGCTCTGAGGCTGCCCCCACTTCCTGCGCTTCCTTTGGAGGACACCCCCTTCCCCGCTGCAGAGTCTGGATCCTAAGATTTGCTCTGTGTCCCTGCTTGGTGACCACCCACCCACCCCCAGCCAGCCAACTGGGCTGGTCTTCCCCTGCATTCTGTGTTTCTTTCCTCCATCTTGACCCGAAACTCTCACCCCCTCCCAAACGAGGTGTAGGAAGAACGGTTCGGCTTGGCCAGCTTTGGTTTGGATTTGATCCTGGGGAGGAAAACAGGGACCTGGAACAGCCCCCCCATTTCACTCTTTGAGGTGGCTCCTGGGGGGAAAGGGGTGCATTTGGGGGGCTCTCTTCCTGCCCAGAGAGAGTTCAGTTTCTGGGGTGCTCAGCGCCGGGGTGGCCTCTCATGGCTGGCATCTGCTGCCCCCTAGTGGCCACAACCCTCTCCTGCTCTCCTGATGGAGCAAGGCACTGGGGGGAGCGCACCCCCCAAGAAGGAAGTGGGGGAGCTATAAATGCAGGTAATGCATGATAAATTTCAAGCAGTGGAAAACACAATTGTCAAAGAATGGGAAGCTGCCGGGTCACCCGTCCCCATGCAAAGGGATCAATTTAGTAAGCAGTGGGGCATGGCACATTTCCAGGTCAAATGCTTTAAACAAAAAAACGTCCCTCTGTCAACACTGTTTAGGCCTCTTCTTGAGTCCCGTGTCCAGCTCTGGACACCACACTTCAAGAAGGATGCTGACAGATTGGAACAAGTTCGGAGGAGGGCGACAAGGAGGATCAGGGGGTTGGAAACCAAGCCCTAGGAGGAAAGATGTAAAGAACTGGGCCTGTTTAGCCTTGAGAAAAGAAGGTGGAGGGGAGATAAGAGAGCACTTTTCAAAAACTTGAAAGGCTGTCCTACAGAGGAGGGGCAGGATCTGTTCTGGTTCCTCCCCAGAGTGCAGGACGTGCAGCGATGGGCTCAAGTTAGAGGAAGCCGGCTCTCGGTTGAAGATCAGGAAAAACTTCCTAACTGTTAGAGCTGCGCGACAACGGAACCCAATTGATGATCTCAGGAGGTGGTGAGCACGTGGAGGCATTCAATGGAAAATTGGATGACCCTCTGCCAGATCTGCTTTGACTTGTCTTCCAGCGCTGAGCAGGGATTTGGATTCGATGGCTTTAAAGGCTGCTTCCAACTTTATTATTCTGCGATTCTACCCCAGCTGCTTGGCTTTGTGTGTGGTCACAGGTTGTTGAGAGTGGCTACAGAAATGGTGTTGGCCAGCATAGCAAAGCTTCCTTTTCCCCTGCCTGTTTTTGTATATGGGACCAGAGGAATTGCCAGATCATGAAGCCAAAACAATTTGGCTGGGTCTGTGTTCAAGTCGGGGAAGGCCGTCCGTGACAGAGGGGTGCCGAGGAAGCCCCCGCAGGCCACGGGAGAAGGTTGACGTTACCCCTCACTTGCTTGTGGCGGCAGCTGGCTTTTGTGCGGGCCTCAGTGGACGTTTTTATCTCCCGCACGCAGGAGCTTGCCCGGCGTCTGCAAGAGGAAGAGAAGGCAACCCGTCAGCAGCAGGAGGAAAAACTGCAGAGCTTACAGGAGAGACCAGGTAGCTGCTGGCGGGAGGGCGGCTTCTCTGATGGGCTCCGGGGCCGCAGACGAGGGGTGCTGTGGAGGTACAGGCAGGAGAAGATGCCGGTCCTATTCAAGGCATCTCCTGGTTCTCAGGAAGCTTTACTGCCTTTGGCACCAAGTCACCGTCATAGGGTACACGCCAGTGGCTGGCCCATGCCTGCTTGATTTTTCCCATCTGCTGGTTGGGAGAGGCCAACAAGATGATTCACAGCTAAGGTCTCCGAGAGGTTTTGTTCCCCTGCAGGCCCCTGAGATCTCTGTGGGCTCAAGCCATCGAGGTGCGGGCTCTCTCGTTGATCGTTGCTCATTTGCAGTCGGAGGGGGGTGAAAGATTTCACTCCCAAGATTGCAGGCGGTTCAAGTGTCTGCATGATCAGCCGGTGGTGGGAGCCCATGGCTTCTTCCGCGATGATTCCTCGCAACATTTTGACCTTGTGTCAGGCGGTTCAAGTGTCTGCATGATCAGCCAGTGGTGGGAGCCCATGGCTTCTTCCTCACAACATTTTGACCTTGTGCCTCTGCGCAGACAACCGGATCGGCCCCTTGGCCTGGCTGGTGGAGGAGGAGAACCTCCAGAGCCAAGAGCAGCTGCGTCAGGATGAAGAGCTGGCCTGGAGGCTGCAGGAGGAGGAGCACGCCCGCGCCACCGTGAGCGTTTCCCCCTCTCCCTTATCTCCCACAGCCAGTGGTTTGGGCAACTTGAGGGTCAAGAAGGATGGGGCTGTGCTTGCCTGTGAGAAACCAGGCCTGTCCAGATGTGAAAACGTGGCTGTTTGTCCCAAATTTGTGATTGAGGGACAGAAGGAACCGCTGAGCGCCCTCGTAGCAGGTTGTCCGGCTTGCACCACCACCCGTAAAAGTCGTAGGTTTCGATGGCTGGTTGCGAAGGGGCAGTGGGATTCTCTTGATGAGCTCCCACAAGGAAGGGCTAACCTTCTGATGGGTTGTGGTTCTTGGTTCCTCTGTGGCCCTTCCATTGCCCCATTTCTTTTCTGATCCGGGACGTCTTTCCTCCTCACAGAGAGCCAGGAGGAACCGGGAGAGGAACGATGACTATCGGGCGGCCCATTTAGCTCAGGATGAGGTGAGGAAGAAGAAGGGGGAAGGTCTGGTGGCAGCCCCCCCCCCCTCTGTGCTCTGCTTTCCTCTCAAGTCTCCTCCTAACTGGATCAGAGTGAGACCCTTGGCGTCAGGATTCCTCCCACGCTCCTTTTCCCAAGTGCTGCGAGCACAACAGCGCTGGACCGGCACGCTGGGTGCTAGCAAAGCATCCTGGGCCCAACCTGCCTGTGCTCCACAGCGCCCCCTTGTGGGCCCGATCCCCTTTCCGTGGAAGGAAGCCACCTTGCATGTGGTCCCAGCGTCTGTATCAGGAGGTCAAGCCTTGATCCCTAGCATCTGGCCCCACCTGCCTGCCCCTCCACCAGCCGGAGGGACCCAGATTTGTAGGTAGCTGGGTGGGTGTGAAGGTGGGGGTTTTAGAGCCACCTGAAAGAATATTGTTGTCCAAGGCGGCTAATGCCTAAGGTGAAGCCCAGCTTGGGCACGGCAAGGGGCCTGGCTGGCTCTCTTTTCCTCTCTGGGGCATGGCACCCTCAGCCACTGGTGGTGCCCCTCTGTTCCCCCTGGGGACTGCTCAGAGGCCATGGAGTGATGGGTCTATCCACCTCAATTCCCCCCCCCCAGGAAATTGCGCGATACATGCAGGACCAAGAGCTGAAGGCACGCTGGAGGAGCACAACCCAGGAGTCGGCGGACGAGCGAGAAGGGGGTGAAGAGGTGCCCGGCGGGCGCACTGAGCCCAGGTGGAGCCACCACCATGGCCACGAGGTAAGCCCTGGCAGTCCCAGGGCGGGAGTGTGCGCGCAGAGGTCTCAGCTTTGCAAGGGGGCAGGGAAGGGGATGGGGCAAATGTCCTTTTCTGTTGCGCCTTCTCTCCAAAGCCTGGCTCTTTGATCGCTCTAAGCAAGCGCATTTAAGGAAGGAAAGGAGGAGGGATCCCTTCCTGGCAGGCTGCCCATGTGTGCCAGACCAGGGGGAAAAAACCCACCTCCACCCCATGGCCCTGCATTGCTCAGGCACACCCTCACTGGGGCAGCCTGGCTCATGGATGCTGTAGGAGCATCTGCAAACACAAAACACAAATACACAGAACAGAGGCAACCAGATTCCCCCCTCCCAACCAGATCCCCCCCCTCCCAAAGAGCCTGAGGGTCTCTTCACGGCCCTTCAAGCAGCCCCACATCCGTGCACCCACCACCTGCCTTGCTGGAACGGCGTCCCTTTTGGTCTCTCGTCAGGATGAGGAACCCCGGCCGAACGGCGGCAGAGCTGCCCCCCCAGTCGGGAGAGTCCACCCCCTCGAGAGATCTGAGACCCCCACCAGAGGAGGTCCCGCGGCGCCGACCGAGTGAGTGCTCAGGCGGGAAACCCTGGACGTTCCGCCGTTTGTGCTGCGCTCTTGACCAAAGGGTGGTGGGGCCTTGAACCCGGGACCATGTTCCTTGCCTTAAGGAAGGGGAGTGAAATTTGAAGAGCCCTTTTATTTTTGCAGCAAGGGGGGTGGCTTTTGTGGGGAAGAGGGGTTGGCGCTTTGCTTCTTCAGAGATCCGCGCCCCCCCCCCTTGAACGTTGGTCTCGGAAACATCCTGGGGCGTTTCTCCTGGGGGGGGGGTGGCTTCTTCCCTGTGCAAAAAAAAAAGTGTGGCTCGCTGGTTGACCGGAGTTCCTCCCTCAGGCCGCCACAACTTTGCCGAAACATTGTGGAAGAGCTGGATCCGACCTTCAAGGCCAAAGGAGGGGCTGAGCGCCCTGTTGCTCTGCCGACCGCGGCTCGCTTCCGAGGTGAGGAGCTTTGCCTCGGGGGGGGGAGCCATCAATGCCTTCCCCACGGACTGCAGAGGCAACATTTGTGCTCAGCCGGACATGGAAAGACCCCCAAGCTGAACCTGGGGGTATGATGAGGGAAAGGGTTGATTCTCTGGGGGGGGCGAGGTAGCCTCAGCCTGGCCACTGATCCACCCAGGTTTGGTTCGGGGCTCTTTATTCCCCCCCTCCCTGCCCCACACACTGGCCACTTTTAGGGTGTTCTGCGTGGGCTGATTCAGAGCATCCTCTCTCCTGAGTGGAAAGAATGTCACTGCACGCCCGGAGAAAGAAAAAGCTTTGCTCTCCCTACAGAATGGCCACTGATCCACCCAGGTTTGGTTCGGGGCTCTTTATTCCCCCCCTCCCTGCCCCACACATTGGCTGCTTTTAGGGTGTTCTGTGTGGGCTGATTCAGAGCATCCTCTCGCCTGAGTGGAAAGAATGTCACCGCACGCCCAGAGAAAGAAAAAGCTCTGCTCTCCCTACAGAGGGACCGGCAGGGGCGTTTGCTGAATAGCTTGCTAGGAGGCCTCGCTCATGCTTCGTGTGCGTCAGAAGGCGTGCGCACAGAGCTCCTTCTCAGAGCGTGCAGAAAGTCCAGCAGAGGGTGTTCATCTCCAGCCCCCCTCCAAACTGCCAAGGATTCGTTCCCTGAAACGCTGTCTTGACTGTTGCAGCTAGACGGCCATGTGTCTGGAGACACGGCGTTCAGGAGACAGAGATCTGTGCGGAGCCATAGCCCGCGCTTGGGGGGAACAGGAGGTGACTGAGTGGGTGGGACCAGAAGCTGGGGTGGGGTGGGGTGGACAAAGGCGGAAGCTGCTCCTGGCAGAGTTTCATTGAGCCCCTCCCCTCCTTTTGCTCCCCCTCCGCTTTAGCTGCCACCCCCGTCCACCCCGTTCCCGTGGACGGCTTCTTCGACTACCTGGATGAGCTCGCAGGACCGGCCTTCGTGTCCCCCACCAAACGACAGCCGGAGAAGGCGGGCCACCCAAAACCGAGGGACAAAAAGGAAGGGTGCAAGCAACAGTGAGCGGTCGAGGAGTGTCGCCCTCTTCAACAGGGACTCCGACCAGAGAGGGCTGGTCTCTCGGGTGGCCCCGGGCTCGCCAGCATGCCGCTACCTTTTGGCTTAGGGTTTGCATCACGGGGCCTTGGGGAGAAGGCCAGGCAGTGGCCGGTTGGGTTTCAAGAGGAATCAGTGCACTTGGCATGGCCGTGGCCCTTGGTCACGGGCGTATGTGGACACCTGGAAACGTTTCTGTCGTATTTCCACCCCTGCTCATCCGCCCCCCACAGACCTTCAAGGAGGCTCCTCACGCATGGGCCTCTGGCTGCCGCCCCCCAAGATTGGAGTGCCTGGCGGGGTCCTGCCATAGTTGCCAGCCTGGATCTTTTTCCTGGAGAAACTGCATTCACTGGACCTTCATGGGGGAAAAAGCCTCTTTCGGGTGCTTATCTGAAGTCAAGGCAGCAGTGATGTCATGGTGGGGGGCCACCTCTTGGGAGACATGTGGGGCCCCACTGGGGAAGGGTTGTGATTTCCTCTTGTCTGCCTGCCGCTTTTTCTGCCTGCTCGTGTGTGGTCCTGGAGCATTGAGTCCTTGGTTCTTCTGGGGGATCCTCAACTGCGGGAGACGACGAGGAGGGAGCAGGCAGCCCCTGGAAAGGCTCAGCCAAGCCCGTGAACAGAGAGGTTGCTTTGAACAAGCGAAAGGACTCCTGGTTTCTGGGAAGGGACCACCGTGTCGAGCCGGAGAAGCTCGTTCTGGCCAGAGGCCAGTCCGGATCTCAAGGGGGAAGGTGGCCGAGCCACTTGTGGCCCTCCAGATGTGGTGGGAAGTCTGCCCAGACCACAGCTAGGGCGTTGGCAGACCGGAAACACACGTTGGTGTAGGAGTGAGGGCTGCTGGGAGGGGTGAAGCCAAACCTGGTGCTCAATCCTTGAGGTTTATTTGCATTATGACAAAAGGAAGTTCTCTGGCGTATGTCTCTGTGTTTGTACTTTTATGCACGTCTCCTGCATGCTTGCGCCCTGGAGAGGAGCTGGTGGCAGATGGGCCCAGCTTCGCCAAGCTCCCCTTCGTGTTTGTGTTCCCTCTGGGCTGTTATGTGTGTTTTTCTCTCTCTGTGTGTGTTTATGTGTTTTAAATAAAGGTCCCTGGCCACTTTGGGGCTGTTTGGCCTCACCTGCACCTGCCGGAAAGGTGCCTTCAGAGTGCTAGACCTTCCCTGAACCACCTGCCCAAGGGTCAAAGGTAGAGAGATGCAAAAGCTGGACGAGAGGGGCCCTCGGCCTGATCCAGCAGGGCTCTTTTGAGGTTCTTAGCTTAATCCCAAGTCACAGATGGGGCTTGCAACAGGGTGACCCCGAATAACTGTTGCCCCTTTGCTAAATCCCTGTTGGCGATTCAACAAAGCGAACAAGCAGAAGCACCCGTCTTTCTGCATCTGCCTCCCCTCTGTTTCAGCCTCACCCCGATTCACCCGGCTTCTCAAGCGGAAGCCTCTCTCTGCTGACGTTTCATAGCACTGAGCATCCTTTTTGACATAACCTTGCACAAGCGTGTCGGAAATACCCTGATTTGTATCAGCCGGTATGATTTGACCTTTCCCCCGCCTGTGAACATCTGTGGTGGTGCTGGCCGTGTGTGGTTGTGAGCCTGGTTGCATGGCCTGCTTGTGCTGCTGCTCACACATGTGAGGTTCGTTGGGTATAAATCTGGAAACGCAACAGTGGCCCAGATGTTGGGAGACAGGTTCAGAAATCCTGAGAATCCATTTGTGCTGAATTTGTTCAAAAGCAAGTGAAGAATTGTCTGCCACTCCAGAAACTGGCTCCACGTGTCATGCTTCTCCTGGCACTGGGAGCAAGTGGGTCTCACCCTCGTGACTTTTGTTGAGGCCCTTGGCAGCCCGGATGGTGTGGGTCACAAAAGAAGGACTCTTTGGGAGGAGAAAGGGGGTAACGCTGTCCTTCTTTCCTGATATATCATGTTTTTCCAAGTATAAGACGACTTTTGTCTAAAATCTTCAGACTAAAAATTGAGGGTCGTCTTATACACGGATGTAAGCTGAGGAGAGAATAAAAACAAGTGGAGGGGAGAGGAGGGATCAAAGCGATCCTGTAACACTTTGATCCCTTTTCCCCTAGACTTGTTAAGCCCCACTTTTATTTCTTAGTTTTGGATTGGAAAGAGGCGCGTCTTATACACAGAAAAATACGGTACTTCCATCCATTTTAAAATCAATTATGCCTTTGTACTCTATAATGTTTCCTTGCATTGTAAGGTTATACCTTTTTGCAGTTTTACTTGAACCTGTTGTTTGGATCTCATGCCAAGACCCAGCAACTCTCACCACGTGGAAAGGCGGTCGTGCTAGGAGGGGTTGGAGAAGGCAGCAGGGAAAAGGGAAGACCCAATGGGAGATAAACAAACTCCATCAGGGAAGCCCCAGCCTTCAGTTGCAAGCCCCAGCAGTTGCAAGACCTCCAGAAGGGAGGGCTTGCCTGCAGCTGTTTTTTCCAGCTGCCGAGGGTGGGCTCGATCTCAGGGCCAGGTCCACTCAAGCGCCTGGAGGAGCTGAGGCAAGAACCCTCCCCTTTTCAGTCCCTGCAATGGCTGGTGGGCAGATTCTTGGCTTGATAAGATCTCAAAAAAGTTCAAAGTGCTGCTGGCGGATGATGACGGAAGCAATCTTCCGTTGTCGAGTGTTTCCACTGCCTGCCTTTGGTGGGATATAAATATAGAACTGTAGTCCCACATGTCTGTTGATGCGCTGCACCGGCGGTGGGGTGGTGCGCGGCCGTGCGCACACATCCCACTCGAGGTGAAAGGCCAGCGGCGGCTGTGGGTTGGGAGGAAGTCGTCACTGCTGCCGGGGCCCCTTGTGTGACCGAGAGATGTAAGCCCCCAACCTCAGCATGCCTGAGACATTTCCATGGAGCTTAACCACCCAAGCTGGTTCACGTAAAGGCAGGGGAACACCAAGATCGTTGGGAATCATTTCTGCACCACAAACACTGTCGCCTGGACTCCAGGACAGAGGGAGAATTGTGCCAGCCTGGGGATGGGTGGGAGGAAGTCCTCGATTGTGAAACTAGCCATAAGAAAGCTGGATTGAGGAGGGCAGGGTGAGGATTTGAGCTGCTCCTCTTCTGTTCGGCTGGGGGAAGTTTGGAGAGAGGAAGTGTGGGGAGCAGCCCAAGGAACATCAATGCCTGAGACTCAACATCCACCTGACCAACCCAAGACTATAAGAGAGACATTTGGATACCCCCTCTGCCAACCTCTGTGAGAAAGAGGGAGAGACCTTTATTTTTTTTAAAATTTATTCATTTATTTCTATGCCACCTATCTGGATGAGGCCACTCCGGGTGGTTTACAACATATATATATATAAAAACCTATCAAATACAATTTAATATAACAAGGAACAGAAATAATAAAATATGAATAAGCATCAACTCAAAGTATTAAAAATACATCAAAATTAAGCATTTAAGATGCCGGACTTGGTCAGATAGGCTAGTTAATAGGAGGATCCAGGGCAGGTGGCTGGGGGCGGGGTACCCTTCTCGCCCATAAAGCATTCTTCCCCAAAATTACAGCCAGAGGAGGTAGCTTTTGCATCAAAGGTGGAGGGCAGGTTTTCCTCCAAAAGTCCCCTAGGATGTTCCCTGTTGGTCTGAGACACAAAGCAGTAGGTGCCACTTCCCCCTGTCTCTCTGCTCTTCGTTGGCCAGACCCATCTAAAAGAAACTGGGTCCCTGGCAGATCCCAAGGTTATAGTAAAGAAAAAAAATTCCTGACTGTTAGAGCAGTACGACAACGGAACTCATGACTTCCAGTGGTGATGGTGAGTGAGCGTTCCAGCGCTGCAGGCTCAGTACGACAATGGAACGCATGACCTCAAGTGGTGATGGTGAGTGAGTGTTCCAGCGCTGCAGTCTTTCAAGAGAAAATTGAATGACCCTCTGTCAGATATCTCATGAGAAGAGAAGACTCCCTGGAAAAGACCCTAATGTTGGGAAATTGTGAAAGCAAAAAGTGTGAAGGCAAGAGGAGAAGCGGACAGCAGGGGAACAAGATGGTTGGACAGGGTCATCGAAGCGACCAACATGAATGTGACCCAACTCCGGGAGGCAGTGGAAGACAGGAGGACCTGCTGTGCTCTGGTCCATGGGGTCACGAAGAGTCGGACACAACTAAATGACTAAACAACAAGTGCCAGATCTGCTTTGATTGGGATTCCTGTATCGAGCAGGGGGTTGGAGTTGATGGCCTTAGAGGCCCCTTCTGACTCTCTGATTCTAGGATTCTAAGAAGAGGAAAAAGCTACTTATAAAGTGGGAAGGGGACAGGTCAGGTTGGGGCCAGAACCCCCCCCCCATTTAGCATAAAGCCTCTCTCCCCATAGAGAACTACAACCTGTCTGCAGTTGCTGAACCCTCTCAAGGGACATGGGGAGAGTTTTGGGGGGTTGAAATCAGAGGAAATGCAAGTCAGAGGGATTTGTGCCCCAGGCTGGCCACCTGCCCTGCCCTTTTCCTTCCTCCTCTGAACAGGCAAGGGAGCTAAGGCCCTTTCTCAAGAAGGAGCTCTCCCTTCAGGCAAGGGGTGCCGGAGCCTTCCCCCTCTTCTTCCTCGGGGTAGCGGTAGACACAGTCATCCACCTCCTGGGCCAGCTGTTTCGGGGGTCCTGCGGAGGGGGGGAGCACATGGGAGAAAGGAAGGCCAGAGGTGAGAGCACTGACGCCAGCAGGCAGAGGTCTGGGGCTCTGATGGCCAGGCTCTCTCGTCTGCCCAGGAACACCCCTCCGCCCCAAGAGGAAGCCCCAAAAGCACGACACAGAAGGGTCTTGAGCCCCATGGCTTCCCTCCAATGGGGCAGGAGCTCCAGAGAGTCAGGAGGACTTGGGAAGATCATCCTCAAGACACCTGTCCTGCTCACCTGTCCATCCAGACGAGCTTTCCTTGATTCCCCCCCAGAACAAAGGTGTGTGTGTGTGTGGGGGTAACAGAAGGGCTGTTTAGAAGCCCCATGGCCTGGATCACATCTGGGGTCATCAAGACTCGGAAAAGTCCAAAACACAGAGAACTAGATTCCTAGCAGATCTCGGGCAGACCCAAGGAGGCGGTGTTGGGATGAGCAAAAAGCTGCGTGGGGCTTCTGCAAGAAGAGCTGTCAAGCTCTTGTCATGCCCTCCCGATGGGCCTGCCATGCCCGGTCCTGATCCAGAGGGTGGTTAAAGGCCAATTTCAATCCAGGGAAGTTGGGTGATGACTATCCTGCCTCGTACCCACCCGGGCATCTCCCTCCTGCATGGGGCATCTTCTCTTCCTCCTCTTGTGGACAAGAAGGAAAGGCAACTCTCGTACCCACCCGGGCATCTCCCTCCTGCGTGGGGCATCTTCTCCTCCTCTTGTGGACAAGAAGGAAAGCCAACGGAGATGCTTCTTCCAGGACTTTTAGGTTTGAGCTCCAGGCCTCCAGAGGAGGCGCCCATCCTGCCGGGGGACACCCTTCCCCTCTCAGTCTCTTCCTCCACCCGCCTGGAACATCAGGACCCTGGACACAGGTGGTCTCCCTCTTAGGTCAGCATCACAGCCGCCACCAGCGGCAAACAGCTTGTCTTCTTAAAGGCTGAAGTGGGGGAGAGTCGGCTTAGGGGCCGGGGAGGGGCCCCATTCTGCGCTCCAGTGGCTCGTAGGATAGGGGTGCCCCACCCTTCTTTTGAGGGGTAGTCGGGAGCTGCAAGAGGGAGTCTGAAGGGGGGGGCTCACCTTTCCGGAACTTCTCTCGGGCCCAAGATCGGAAGAAAACGCAGGACAGCAGCAGGAACACCAAGCAGAGCAGTAAGACGCCCAGCAGGGCCAGAATGACCGCCAGGAGCCGGCTGTCCGTCTCTGGAAGCAAGGAAGGAAGGGAAGGGTCAGCCTTTAAATGGGGGTGGGTAGGAGTGGGGGGTGCAAGGCCCAGCTTCTGGTCCCTGAGAAAAGACTGCCTGCCCTGGATGGGAGGGACCTGTGGGGGCATTCCTCCTGGGGTTTGAGTTCTTGCTTTTTACTTGAGCTGTTTTACAACAATCTGCAACGCACAAAGAGTAAGATCCTCGATCATAATGGGCAGTTGTGGTGAGGATGCTGGAAGCAGAAGGGGGGGAAGTGACATGGGGGGCAGGGAGAATCAAATGGGTCCCTTGGGTGAGCGGTCATCTCCCGGTGGACTCTCTCCATCCATTCTCTCTCCCCCCCCCACCGCCTTGCTCCCTCCATGACTGCTCAAGACAGCCTGCAAACTGTAAGGACTGACTGACCCCCCATGACCCCCCCATGCCCTTCCTTCCTCTCTAGGTGCCCCACCACTCCCTTCAGCAGCACCTACCCTGCTACCATCCTTACATCAACTCCCTCTCCCAGATCCCCCCTCCCCTTAAACACCATTGCCAGGGGAACTCCCTGCTGGAAGAGAGGAAGAGGCGAAGGGAAAAGGGGAGGACGAACCCTCGGAACGCATCTGCGTGGAGAGGACCCCCGGTGGCGCGGTGGTCCCAGGTTCCTCCAGACCCGGCCGGCAAACCACGTCCGTCTTCTCTGTCCCTGGAGTCAGGATGTGGCCCTCCGGGCATCTGCCGGGGAAGGTGCGTTCAACAACAGCAGGGATCGTCCCGTGGGCCAGACCAAAAACCTCTGATCGTGAGAAAGGGTGGGGGAAACCACGCTTACCGTGTCCAGGGGCGGCACGGAGCGTGACTCTGGTTGCTAAAGGTCCCCTTAGGGCAACTCCGGCATCCTGTGGGGTCAAAAGGGACAGGCGGGCATCACTTGGAGGGCGCCGGGCACCGCATCGCCAGCCCCCTGTCCTGCCCACCGGGAGGTAGGCGGGCATCACTTGGAGGGCGCCGGGCATCGACATCGCCAGCCGCCTGTCCTGCCCACCGGGAGGGGGGGTGCTTGAGGGTCTCCCGGATCCCCCAGATTCATTCCCCCTCCGCCCCCGTACTCACGGGCAGGGCAGCCCAAGGGAAGCCCTCCCCCCCGTCCTCCGCGCACCTTCCGCCGTGGGCTCCTGTCCCGCGGAGCAGAGGCACCGCTCGCACGCATTCCCGCCACAGAGGAAGCCCGGACGGCACCGGCAGAGCGCGTTGACCGTCCCGTTGCACCGCCGCTCGTACTCCCGGTGGTCGCCTGAGGAGGGAGAGGAGGGAGAGGAGGAGGAAGCGGCAGGCTCCCCCCCCTCCAGACTTTAGATTGCCCCCCCAGGGGACCTCCGTCCAAGCCGGAGAGCTCGCCCCCAGGAGGCCGGTGGGGAGGCTCAAGGGCTGGGCAATCCCGGGGCGCCCGTGCGCCCCATCTCCCCGCGCAGCCGGCACGAAAGCGGCCCCGGCGCCCCCTCGCCCTCTTACCATCGCACAGATCGCACGGGACGCAGTTCTGCCAGGGGGCTTCGCGGAAGGTGCCTGCGGGGAGGGGAGAAGATGCAGTCGCTCAGCCCCGGGCGAAGAGCGCAGCCCTTCCAGGGGCAGGCGGAGCGCCTTCACACGTGCCCTGCCTGACGCGTGTCCAGGAGGAAAAAAGGCTCCCGCGGGGTGGGAGTGGAGGGGGAAAGGGGGCTCCCCGAGCCGGCGGCCCTCACCTTCCTCGCAGGGCGGCTTCGGGGCGAGCTCCCGGCTCCAGATCTTCCCATTGCAAGAGTTCAATTAGACTTACTGTCAAGTAAATGAGAGAAGGATCACAAACTTCAAAACAGTAGCAGGTTAAGTTAATCAACATGTGTTGATTAAAACATGGTTTTCTGTTTTTCTTTTATTTTTATTAAACGAGACAAAAAGATTACAGAATAATGAAAACAAAAAAAGCATTCATAAAGAAACAAATCTGAAAAACAACTTAATCCACACATTACCATTATAATAACACTTACAACTCAGTGGTCTACCCCTCATCAGAATCACTAGAGATATTTAATTCCCCCCTCCCATTCCCCTTCCCAAAATACAGACTCTCGTGGAGGTAAAGAACCCTTCCCCTGTCCTAGATAGCTCAGTGGTTTCGATTTCTACCTGCAGAGCTAGAGGTTGGGAGTTCAATTCCCCACTGTGGCTCCTTAACAGGGAAACATTGACTGGTATTATATAACAGATACAGTACAAGTTTTAACTAAAAACTGAAATATCTGTTAAATATTGGTGCAGTGTGTAAGCTGTTCCTAATATAGCTGTTTTTTATAGCTCTGATGGGAGTGTGATCTCTCTGAGACCTGCAACTGCATACAGTACTGGGTGAAATTTCTTGATATTGATATTTCTTGATATTGTTCCCGAAGCCCCAATGACTATGGGGACCACTGAAGTGTGTTTCTTCCAGAGTTGAGATTGATTTATTTATTTGGCTTTTATACCGCCCATCTAGACGAATCTACTCTGGGTGGTTTACAGTCTAACAAAGGCAATAAAATTGTTACTACTATATCTGGTGTGTTATATTAAAGTGCCAGTCAGTTTGGATCTGGAAATCCCACAGAATCTTGACTTCATTTTCTGACACCTTCCCTGCCTGATGTTCCCACGGGTCCTGGGAGTCTCGCACCTTCTCTACCTGATGTTCCCACGGGTTCTGGGAGTCTCACAAGTTATATTTTTTGTATCAGGACCAGTGTACTAATTTTGCTACTTTATCATGTCTAATGTAATCTGTTCCTGCAATCTTTGGACTTTTGCAGATGAGTTGTGACACAGTTTCATCTTTTTCTTGGCAGAGTCAGCATCTGCTTTTAACACTAATTCCTTGGATTGTCCTTTCACCACTTTGTTTTGGAACGCTTGTTCTTGTGCAGCGAAATTACAAACAGGTCAGTGAAAGCCGAGGGGAATATCTGAGTTGCTGCAATGAGAAAGCCTAGTTTCTTTATATAACATAAGACTGAACTGAAAAGTGGAAATCATGAGTAAGGTTTATACATCTATATCATGACATAAAATTTTTTTAACCATTGCCTCCTATTGAGAAGGCATAATTATTTAATTTATTCTTACAGTATACAACAGCGGCCTCCTATAATGTTGGTGGAATATTCTCAAGCTCATGAGCCTCCTCCTCATCCCACATCAGTTTGCAGGCCGGCTTCTAGACTTATTTGGAAAGGGTCTATTTCTGAATTCTGATGCACCACGAGAAAAGAGAGCGGCTAACGCTGTCAGCAACGAGCCATGTTCACCTTATAGGAAGTCTATTCAGGAAGCGGAAACCTTGATTATTCACAGCGGGTTAAGAAGTCTGGTTGTTTTGATCTTTCCTTTCAATCACGGTATCTGAAAATCAATTCTTTTCTATTTTCAGCAACGGGCAGAGTACGTCACCTGTTTCCTGTTACAGAGTTTTACTGTATAATGCGCGTTTCAAGGTCTGCGTTGAGAAATTATTTGAATTATTTTAGGGGGTACCGGGGGAAATTGGCAAAAAAAAAGACACAGCATCATCTTATGCCACTCCAAAGATCAACAGATGACGCTGAGCTTAAGAAGGCTGTGAGGAGGAGAGGTTGCTTCTTTGGGGGGAGTCTGTGTTATTTCAGATCGGCCAAAATCTTGTGGCTTAGCATTGCGAATGGCACTAGAGGAGCCCCACAGAATCAATGGGAGTTTGGGGAGTCATCTCCTCCGTAAGTGGCATGGGTTCAAACAGGCCGACTCTGATTGTGATTTACTGTGCTAAAGTAAATAGCAGTTAGAGAAGGCTCATTTGAATCCATTGAACTCATGGAGGCTCCAACTTACTAAACCCACCTGGATTCTGTGCACCTACTCTGGGATTTATCCAGACAACGGCGGCGGGGGGGATTGATTTGTTTGAAAATGTGGTGCTGGAGGAGAGCTTTTTGGACAGTCAGAAAGACAAAGAAGTGGGTGCTGCCTTTCATTGTTCTAAGCGTCCTTCGATTCTTTTTCCAGGAGAAGTCCGGGGTGAAAAAAAGATTTTTCAAGAAAGAAATAAACCAAGCCTAAGCACACGGTAGAAATTAAAAGGACTAAGTTGACTGTGGTCCTTTAGGCCCGCGCTGAGAAAACCAGGCTCAGTGGAAAAAGACGTGCAGAAAGTGGAAGGCAGCAGGGAAAGAGGAAGAACTCGAGTGAGATGGACGGAGTTCCTAAAGGAAGCCAGGGGTTTGGGTTTGCCAGAGCCGAGCAGAGTCTTTTGGAGGCGGTTCATGGATGGGGTCGCCATAACTCTAAGGGGAAGGGGCCTGATGGCACCCAGCAGCACCCACTGGAGTACCCTCCACTCTGCCAAGCCACGGCATTTTGGGCCGGGGTCTCACTGCCGGGCGTCCCAACGCGTGTCCTGAGCTGACCTGAGCAGGGAGGGGGGGAATCAGACTACACTTCCCACAATCCCTCGCGCCGAAGTCCGAGCCTCCCGTCGAGCCTGAAGACGGGAGGAGGAGGAGGAGGAGGAGGAGGAGGAGGAGAGGGCGGAGTCGCCTCCCACTGGCTGCGGGGGCGAGAGGGCGGGGTCTTACCCGGTGGTTTCTGCGGCTATCTGGGTCGGCGAGAGGGGGGCGGACCGAGCCTGTCCGTGACGTCAACGCGGCCCTCCGCTGGCGCCCACGCTCCTTCCTCCTTCGGTGCCCTCCGTTCCTCCTGTCCGAGGCAGAAGGGGTTAACGGGCCGTTCCATTCCTCCGCGGCGGGAGGGGGAGCATTTTTGGGTTGGGCCGTCCCGAAGGGGAGGGGCTCCCTCGCGGAGGGGGGCGGGGCTGTGCCGGTGGGAGACACGCGTGCGGAGCTGATCACGGGCCTTCCTGCACGTAAGGACGGGCCAGGGGCGCCTCCCCCTCACCCCCAGCCCC